TATCTATCTATCTATCTATCTATCTATCTATCTATCTATCTATCTATTCATTTGTTGACCCATCCATTCATCCATCCATCCATTGATCTATCTATTCATCTATCTATCCATTCATCTATCTATCTCTCTATCTATTCATCTGTTGACCTATCCATCCATTCATTTATCTATCTATTCATCTATCTATCCATTCATCTACCTTTCTATCTATTCATCTGTTGACCTATCCATCCATCCATCCATTTATCTATCTATTCATCTATCCAGCTATCTATCTATCCATCTATCTATCTATCTATCTATCTATCTATCTATCTATCTATCTATCTGCATGTCCCCAGCACTGAGCAGAGTATCTGCCACATAGTAAAGAAATTAATAAATGTGTATTAACTAACTGACTGATTGATGCATCATATAAGCAAATATCCAAGAACAAACTCCTTCAATACTTGAAATATCCACAATTTAGTCAATGAGGTCCTTCCCATCACCTCTGTAGCTCATAAACTCTGGACAATTCATTTCTCAGATGAGGAAACTGAGGCCCAGAAAAGTAAAGTGACTTGCTCAAAGTCCCACGAATAGTAAGTAGCAGAACCTGGATTTGAACCAGGGTCCTCTGACTACAAATGTGTGACAAAGGACGAGTCACTGTTCCTCTCTAGGCCTCAATTTCTTCCTCTGTAAATGGGAAGAAGAGTGTGTGTATGAGATACGTGACAAAAGATGCTGGGAGGAAAGTCCTTTGTAAACCTCAAAGTACTTTAGAATTTGAATTGCTGTTATTCAGGGGCTAACAACGAACAGCCCAGGCCCTAGTTCTTCCCTTCCTCCTCTCAGATGACAACCATTCATGAGTAGGTTCCTATTCATAAGCCCTCCTCCCAAGCAGGGAAAAGGGAGGAGAGGCCCTGGGCCCTTGAACAAATCACTTTTGTTTTCTCCTAGGTCTCAGTTTCCCCTCCTGTAAAATAAATAAAGGGATCAGACAAGATTATTTCTAAATCCTCTGGTCCTCTGAAACTCCAGCCAGGCTGCAGCTAGTGATGGTGGTCTTTTCTCAGAAGCACTCAGCTCATAGACGGGAAGCTGGCAATGCCTACACACCCTAGAGGCAAACATTCCCATGGTGGGACCTCAGTCTATGCCCACCAGTGTAAGACTTTAAGGTTTTTCAGTCCATTTCTCTCATCCAGACTCTTCCCAGACTCAGGGAGCATGGGCAACAATGCAAGAAAGACCCTGGGACATGGGCATTGTTTTGGTCCCTGCAGCTACTGAGCATCAGAAGGGTGCTGCTCCAGTGCACTTACACTCTTCTCTCCACTTGTTTGGATCCATCATCAGCCGGCTCTTGGTCTCCTCCAGCTCCTCCTTCAGGAGTTCATGCTTGGCCTCCATCTCCTTGATTCGTTGATGTCTCCTTTCCAGGACCTTCAGCTTGGCATTAAAATACATCAGGCCCTTTGAAAACAGAGAGAATTCCCAGACATCTGGGTTCAGGCTGTGTAGCCATCAGTCCCAGGCAGGTGAGAGAATAAAGCATTTGGAGCAGGAAGGGACCTAAAGATCATTTAGTCCTGCCCCATCATTTTACAGGTGAGAAAACCCAGGCCCATCGACAGAAAGGAAAAGACCTGCCCAGAGTAACACAGTTAATGAGCAATGAGACCCACAGTTCAAGCCTAGGTCTTTGGATTCAAAATCCAATACACTTTCTTCTCCATTACGTTAGGCAGTTGGGGGAGCAGTGGATAGAATGCTGGGCCTGGAGTGAGGAAGACCTGAGTTCAAATCCTGCCTCAGACACTTACCAGCTGTGGGACCCTGGGCAAGTCACTTAACCTCTGTTTGCCTCATTTTCTTCGACTGTAATAACAGGAATAATAATACTCCTACCTCACAAGGTTGTGAGGATCAAATGAAATAATATTAGTACAGTTCTTAGCACAGTTCCTGACACATAGTGTATAAATGCTATCTAAATGCTTGTAGCAGACTCGGGTGACCTTGGGCAAAACCCTTTCCCTTTCTCTGGGCTTCAGTTTCCTCTGATAGATAGAATAAATGAATGAATAAATAAATAACTGATGGACAACAAATAAATGAACAAACCAAATAAACGAATAAGTAAATGGATAAATAAAGTGAAAGAAAGAAAGAAAGAAAGAAAGAAAGAAAGAAAGAAAGAAAGAAAGAGAAAGAAAGAAAGAAAGAAAGAGAAAGAAAGAAAGAAAGAAAGAAAGAAAGAAAGAAAGAAAGAAAGA